AACTCCCACACAACTAGATGAAATTATAAGAGATTAATTTTAGAAATATTCAAATATCATGCAGATGGTATTTATGTAATAGCATAGATAGATAGATAGATAGATAGATAGATAGATAGATAGATAGATAGATAGATAGATACTCTGGCCCATATTTTCTATCGCAAAAATATCCAGATAGATCAAGGCAAGCCACCACCAGTAGTTTCTATTAATATCACTGAACAATTGAAACTCTTGAGGATAAGTTACCTTGAACCATTTGTTCATTGTTTCAATCAAATGAGTGATGAAAAAAGTTAAAATTGCCTGAAATTTGCTCTGTGATTGACAACTATAACTGCTGTCTTAACAGAGGTCAATTTGTTTGGTGCTTATTCAAAGTTTTTTTTTCCCAGATTAAAAACTAAAATGTATGAAAATCTTACAAAGTTCCTGGTCAATAAAGCTCATCGGCCAGCCAGTGACATATTTCTCAAATAGCCAGCCTTTTGAATGCCTGCTATTGTCTATACCTCCTTTTCCTGCCCATGTACAATGTTTCATGTGTCCTATAATTCTTCTGTTATGTAACACACCCCTCTCTGTACCCTCTCTGTAAAGCCTGTCAGTTTCAGTATTGGTTTACCCATCATAGACATGAACCTACAAAATGAACATTTAAGGCTCCTGCAAGTGGCAGCTGAAGCCAGTGAGCCATCCTCTGGCATAATAATCAATATTTTATAACCTGGAGACATTCAGAGTTCGTGTTTATGTGTATTAAAGTGAAAACAAAATATTTCCCTATGCTTTACTTGGAGTATATGTTGTTTATTCAGCTTCTAGTATTTATATCACGTGCTAAAATAACTGTTAAACACACACACACACACAAAGAAATAATAATTACAAAATGACAATAATAAAAACAATATTGCTGCAGAGGTAAAGGAGTTCAACTTTGATATAATGTATACAAAGATATAACTTGTATAGTGTATTTTATAACATGATGAAGAGTTAATACAATATTAATTCCTCCTGGAGAGGCTTTGAGTTGGCAAAGAATACAAAGTGCACACAAAACATGAACTCAAATTAGTATTTGCCAATTTAACATGATTAATTAACCATATACTATATTCAAATGTTCTTAAAAGATAGAACTTAAAACAAAGTTCAGATTCTTAAGAAAATTACTTTTTTATTTTATTGGTCATAAGAATTACAACCATATAGGAATAGCACTCCCCATCATCAAGTAATTATACAGTTTAGGTTTAAATTAAAAAAAAAAAATACTTTTAAGCTAATAGTTGATGGGATCATTTGGATTAATTAGCCCAACTAAAAGATGTATTTGGAACGGTTTGAATTGACTTCAGTGGAAGGTTCATTCATTATTACTCTGCAAGAATCGGTTGTCCTCTAGCTAAATAAGATCAGTTAATGTGACCCTTTGCTTCTGTATGGCAAGAACTTGATTTAAACATTACATTTTATTCCTCAACCGTGTGCTTAAAAATTCTAAAAATCAAAGCAAACTACAAGAAGATGAACGAGGACTCATAAAAGGGAGAAATGAGTGCTTATTAAACGCTATAAAGTGCGTTATCTTTCTATTCAGCCCTGGGGACTGCCATCATTTAGCAGATGTCACGGCAGCAATGCAGCACATCTGCGAAAAGTGTAGCGAAGCATAAAAAAATCCCACCGTTAATAAAACGTAAACGATCATTTTATTGCACGTATAAAACTTTTGTCTCTACAGGCCAATAATAGGAAGTAATCAAAGGCTAGGAGGACAGAGAAACAAGTTGTTCTTTAACAGGGGAGAAGTGAGCAGCAATGACAGATGATGTCCAGCAATGACAGATGATGACACCCAGTCCAAGGGGATATCGCCCTGCATGTCAGCCGAGAACAGTGCCGGCTCCCCTTCTTCTCTGCGAATTGGGGGACATGGAAAGGATGAGCGGATGGCTGTGACCCTCTTCTGATCCCGTGTATAGACAGGCACATTCAAAGCTTTTTTTCCACTTGAAAGGACAAGGAAAATGAGTCTCTCACAATGGAAACAAAAGTTGGCCAACAAAAGTCTCAGCGTTGTCAGGACCAAAGAAATAAAAGCAAGCCTGCGGGACTGAGCACCCCCATCCCCAGAAGATCCCCTTCTTACCTTCCTCCAGCACTGACTCCTCATAGGAGCCGGACTCTCTCCTCTGCCCCGGATCCCCCGTAATTATTAACTGTCTGCTTAAGCTGGATGGAAGCTGAGCAGGTCATTATTGGCACATAGCAGGGCATCAATGAGCCATGACGTTACTTTAACATGCACCCTTTCGCTCCCACGGCTGTAGCGCCTCCCACGGGCCAATCAGAAGGCAGGGGTCTGCCCAATTGGAGGCGGCGGGAGTGGATTTATGTTAAAGAGATTAGTCGGGGATTAACTCTTAGGGGTCCGGTATTGTAGGCCGCCTCTCCTCGATGCTAATCATGCCTTTGCTCCCCATAGACGCGTCATTAATGATGGTGCGGGTTGGTCCGCAGTCAGGAGGTGTGTGCTGTGTCGGCCGTCGGGAGGTGTGTGTCAGGTGTCGGCCGGCGGGATGTGCGTGCTCAGGTGTCGGCCGGCGGGATCGTGCTCAGGTGCGAGTGATCGTCCCGTGTACTTCCCTGGGAAGCCGAGGAAGGTCCTCTTCATCCTTGTAAAGCCTGGCTCCTGTGATCGCGCTATAAATACACACACTGAATTAGTAAAAAGCCTGGGAATTGAATCAATAATCAGGAAGCATACAATCCTCCAGATAACGCTCATGCCGCCAATTAAAGGTCTTTCCCCCGAGGAAAAATTGGGCTCCAAAGAAATTATGTAAAACTCGCTTAGTATTTACGTTGCTCTGATCTCTATCCAATGTTTGCAGGGTAGATAAACTAGATGAGATCTGCACTGCTTTCCTTTAAAGAGTCAGCAGCAGAATCCCTAGCCTTGTGTGCCTACTATTAGTAACACTCGTCCTTTCTTTCTTTCTTCCCTTTGATTTCAGTTGTGAATGCTCAGTACACAGAAGATGTGGGAAAGGGAGCGACATGGAGCCTTCCTATTACCCCAAATACATTATTCATTGACACGATCACCTACCAATAATGACACACACTGATCGATAGTATTGGAGTGGGACTGATCAACAACATTCGTGCTCTATAGATCGCCATAAATATTCTTCTCAGTGTCTCTTCCTTCTAGGATGGACTGTACAAGTCCTCATCATCACCTCCAACCTTATTTCTGAAGACATATCTTCCATCTATCTGTTACATTGTATCCTTGGCATGTTATACTTTCTGCTTCATCCCGACTACTTCCAGGGTGCTGGAAAGAAGATCTCCTTCTCCTGTCATTCTAGAAAACCACATCTAGACTCCTTGATCTGGGCTCTTATGATTTACCACCAGTTTGTACTAAATTACACACCGCGTTTGGCAACTGTTCAATAAAAAAAAGTCAAACGGAATAATAAAAGCAATCATTACTACTAGGTGATAATAACAATGGTGTGCTGGAGGAAAATGATAGCAAAGAGAACTGCAGCTTCTATCCACAGCGACCAATCAGAGCCCTTCATTCATGTTCCCAGGGAGAGGCATGGTCCCTGCCTGACTAAACCATCCCTGACAGAGGAAAAGATTACCCCAAACAGGCTCTCTATATTCCTATTCTATTGTATTCTAATGCCCCCTCTCTCCCCCCTCTCTCCCCCCCCTCTCTCTCTCTCTCTCTTTCTATCCATCTAGTCTATCTATCTTTTTTTATCTATCTATCTATCTATCTATCTATTTCTATCCATCCATCTAGTCAATCTTTTTATCTATCTCTATCTTTCTAATCTATCTATCTATTTCTATCCATCTAGTTTTTCACTTTCTTTCTTCTTTTCTTTCTTTCTTTCTTTCTTTCTTTCTTTCTTTCTTTCTTTCTTTCTTTCTTTCTTTCCTTTCTCTATATTTCTATCTATCTATCTATCTATCTATCTATCTATCTATCTATCTATCTCAGTCTTTCGACCCGCTATTTCTGTCATACTGAGAAATATATCTGTGGGGATCACAGGAGCTTACATTCTCTGATCTATAGGGATTTACTGTACTTCACGTGGTTTTAATCAGCTTTTTCAGAAAACATTTTATGAGTTTTATGTAGAAGGGGGAAATACCTTTTTATTCCCTTTAGATCCTGAGCTAAATCTCTCGCTTAAAACCCCATCTACTCTTCCTTCCATAATCACATTTCTCAGAATGAGAAGTTCAAGGTGATAACGTCGTTCTATGTGATTTGTATTGTCATTGTATACCAGGCAGACACTGGGAGTATCCAGCTACAGACAAAGCAACAGGCGACCGATGTGCCGTCTATGGCGCCGTCTGCCATGGATGGTCGGGGATTCTTGTCCTATCAGAGTCGCTGATATCAGAATATATAATAATTGGGATGTGAGCACTGCCTTGGCCCGGCAGTGCGGAGTTGGGTGATGTGCTCGGAAAGTTGGCCTTGCATTGTGTGCGCTGGCCATGAAGGGGCAGACTTTCCTCTGGAAGAGAGAGTCAGAAGAGAAAGGGAAGAAAGCATGCTGATAATTGGACGGGCCCGTCACCATCCCTTTCCTCTGGCCGACACCCCGGAGGAGGAGCCTCGGCCGTCACATTCCTCCTTCTCCAACTTAGCAGGACCTCTTTTCCAAAGTCTACACCAACCCACATTCCCACCCAACTTTTCCCCTCCCTCCCTCCCCGCACACAAGGAAAGCACAAAAAAAAATCTTACAAGGGAGCAAGCCAGCAAGAAGAGCAGAGAGGGAGAGGAGAGAGATATCAGCAGCGTGAGGAGGCAACAAGCATCACGACTCGTCTCCACACTGGCAACTTCAGCCCCTCCAACCAGCCCCCAGCACTAGTGGCCCCTGATTCTTCTTTTTTTTTTTTCTTGTAGTGTGTGTGTCTCCAAAGATAAGAGTGTATGCATGTGTCTGGCCATGTCCTATCCTCAGGGCTATTTCTACCAACCATCTGCTTCTTTGGCTTTGTACTCTTGCCCTGCTTACAACACTAGTGTCATCTCTGGAGCCCGGACTGATGAGTTGGGAAGGTCTTCTTCTGGTTCTGCTTTCTCCCCCTATGCTGGATCCACGGCGTTCACAGCCAGCTCCGCCGCCTTTAACTCTCCTCTCCAGTATAGCGGGGACCCCACTGCTGCTTTCACGTCGTATGTGGTAAGAATTGGGAAAAGAAAAGGTGGGGGGCTGGGGGAAAAGGGGGGGGGGGTGTTGCAAATTCTCCCAGAAAAGTTCCCTTCCCATAGTCCATTGTAGCATCCACCATACCAAGTTGCTTAGGGCCCCATCCAGTACACAATCCGCCATACACACAAAGTATATCGATCTTGGTCGTACCCCCAAAATTACCCCCCCCCCCATACACATCCTAAAACTTGCTGCAATATCCTTTAGATCTAAAATGATCCTGGGCTTACCAGATCTGAAACTGGATCTAAGCTCCACGAATGTCCTTAACTACGTCCATGCTGGAAAATCGATAATCGAGTCCCTTCGGTCAGCCAGCACCGTCTCGAAGTTTTCCAGCAGCGAAGGAGTCCTCTGAAATATGAAGTATGTTTCCAATTACAGAGGATGCCTCCATTAGAAGGAAACATGCCCAATCGAAATGTGATCTTAAAAGCGTCCAGTTGCTGAATCTGTTTTACTTCAAACTGAGACTGAAAACTTCCAAGGTGATTTCACAATCGGTCCTCTTCACCACTTCATCCATCGATTGGCCATCGATTTCAGGGAGGAGAACCGATAAGTCTTAGTGTGTCATCGATCTCCTCATTAGCCTTTATTAGAGAAAGTATAAGTGCCTCCAATTGTTTCCTTCTTGCTGACACCTAGGCTGTGGTAGGGCTGGACCGTGTCTGTGAATTTACTCCCGGCATTGTAGAAGTCACCAATGTCCCTTAATGCTTTTATCAGCCCGGTTCTGATTTAATTAGGCGAATCAAGCCCCATGCGACTACCGACTTAATTAAATCTTCGGGTAATGGTTCTAGTTCCATGGCTGGCTGTCTAGGTGTGGTTGCTCCGACAAGACATGAAAGCCTATGGAGATTGCTCCGGCTGTTCGGGCTCCCAGCGCTGGAGATCACACACTGTAGGATATGTCGGCTCCATCGCCGTGCTCTGTTGGAGTCAGGTTTAGAGCAATCTCAGGGAACATGTAGGCCAGGACTAAAGGAGTAGTATCTGGATTAAAGATCTATGCAGAAGGCTTACAGACAGTATTGATTGGAAAATAATATTATGTTCTTCTCAGCTGACACCATATACAGAGATGTGAAAATTGGTAGCGAAACACATTTATAGATTACACTGGCTGGATCTTTATTCAACCTTACCGACTATGTAACTATATAAGGCCGATTATTAAAGGGTTTGATAATGTTCACACAATACATTGTTTTAAGATCCACTTCAAATATCCAGTATTAAATATCCTGCTAATGTATTTCATCTGCACATAATTAGACAATTAAAGTGAATATTCACACAATTTCTTCCATTCTTTTCATCAGTAAATCAGCATTAGTGTGCTTGATCTGAATATTACCTAGGTAAGGTAAAGGAACACATCCTTAAATAAAATGCATTCTTAGCTCTTTTAATAAATCAGCCTCAATGATTTATTGTGGAAACATTTTCAGCTCCTTTAATAATTCATCCTTATCTAGTCCGCCTGATCTGAATTGTATCTATTTGAGATAAAAGAACTAAAGGGGCACATCCTGAAATGAAGTGCATTCTTATTTTATGGAGTAAGTTAGCCTTATTAGCTACTTGATCTGAATATTATCAATTTAAGATAAAGGAAATCATCCTGAAATGAAGTGCATTCACATTTTATGGAGTAAATCAGCTTTATTAGCTACTTGACCTACTTGACCTGAATATTATCAATTTAAGATAAAGGAAAACATCCTTAAATGAAGTGCATTGTCATCTCCTCCTTTAGTAAATCAGTTTTATTTAGTCTGCTTGATCTTAATATTATCTCTTTAGAATTAGGAACTAAAGAAACACAATCTTAAATTTAGTGCATTCTCATCTCTTTTAGTAAATCTAAATAATATATATTCAAGGAAAAAAAAAACTAAAATAAGCACATCCTTAAATTAAATGCATTTTCATCTCCTTAAGTAAATTTGCCTTATTTGGTCCACTTGAGCTAAATATTTTCTATGTAAGATAAAGGAACACAACCTTAAATGAAGTGCATGAATGACATGGCTGCTTGAATGTAATAAAATGATGGACGTCTTCTAATGCCTTGTGAGACTTATCATTATTATTTATCCTCCCCCAGGGCTCTCCATATGATCACGGCACAAGCATGGCTGGTTCTTTAGGGTACCATCCATACGCTGCCCCTTTGGGATCTTATCCATATGGTGATCCAGCTTACAGGAAGAATGCCACCAGGGATGCCACAGCTACTTTAAAGGCCTGGCTAAATGAGCATAGGAAGAACCCTTATCCCACCAAGGGAGAAAAGATTATGTTGGCCATCATCACCAAGATGACACTCACCCAAGTGTCCACATGGTTTGCCAATGCTAGGAGGAGGCTTAAAAAGGAGAACAAGATGACATGGACTCCCAGAAACAGAAGTGAAGATGAGGAGGATGAGGAAAACATAGACTTGGAGAAAAATGATGAAGAGGAGAGGAGCCCCTAAAGCCAGATGAAAAGGGAGAGCTGGATGTGGACACAGGTTAGTTTGAAATGAACTCCATTAACTGAAATAAATACACTGATGAGATGTTAGATGTGTGTTATGTTATTTTTTATATAACTTTATAAATTAGTCCAGTTGTATGTAGACACTAGGAAGGCCTAACTAAATTCAATAGTCCTTGTTTATTGCAGGCCACTTTTGTTTGGCCTTGGAGCAGTTAGTCCTAGATGTTGTCAATAATCCTCTGTATGTTTTTCTGAACAGAAAAGCGGAGTCCAACAAGGGACAATTCTGATCGTTTGGAACAAGAAAATCTTCAGGAGAAGGATTTGATTTCCATCAGGAGTGATTCAGAGTTGAAGGAAGCTGAAGAGACTAGTGATATTCTATCTAAAAGCTCTGATCCAACATCTCCACCTATGTGCCAGTCTAGCCAGGCCCAGGAAGAACAGACTGTACATAATCGCCATCTTCACCACCACCACCATCATCATCATCATCCTCATCAGCCAACCCAGCACCCCCAGCACCACCAGCAGCAGCAGCCCCGCCCAATAGACCTTGTGCATAGGCGCACCCCACTTCATCATGGCACAGTTCCCAGCAATGCCGCATCAGTCATACACTCACCCCCTTCAGCTTCCAAGCCTAAACTATGGTCCTTGGCAGAGATTGCCACATCCTCGGACAAGTCTAAAGAAAACAGTGAAATCACAGCTGGAACAGGGTCAACCACAGTCCAGTCAATGCTTGGCAGTTCGTCCCCCCTTTCCAAATCCCCTGGAGCAACATGTCCCCTCCCTAATAACTCTGTGTTGTCCCGTCCCCTGTACTACAGCACCCCATTTTATCCCGGTTACACGAACTATGGCTCTTTTGGTCATATGCACAGCCACCATGGACCAAATACAACGGCTTCAGCCAACAGCAATGCACATTTCAATGGATTAACCCAAACTGTCTTAAACAGAGCTGAAGGTATGGCCAAAGAGTGTAAGCTTAGAAGTCAATCTCAAGCAGACCTTAGTAAGGATTCTGCTTATGAACTAAAGAAAGGTATGTCCAGCCTTTAATTCTGGATTCCTCTGCCAGTGTTGGGACTTACTATAATTTATTTAAACATAAAATGCCTTGACAGTTTACCAGTTCACCATCAAGAAAGTTTAGTCATTCAAAACATTCTAAAACCTAAAGGCCACTGCAGAATTAACTCTGGCTGGTCTCAATATGTCTTAAACCAGCTACAAAGAAATTCAGAATTTGTATTAATATGGACCTGTATATTTAATTGTAGCATTTTGTATTTAAATGAATCATCACTATCTTTGAAGTAAATTATGGAATTAAATCTGATGTACAATGATTTATGCTGTTTTTGTAATATAAATATATGAACTTTTTTCCTGAATTATTTCTTAGTGAATAATACAAGTTTAACTTCCTTTTTTAAATGCCTTTCTTCTTTGCCTTTTTTTTCTCACAGTCAAAGCATCTTTTTATAACATTTCTTTCTTTCTTTCTTTTTCTTTCTTTCTCCCTCCCTCTTTCTTTCCTTCCCCCTCTCTTTTTTTCTTTTTTCTAAACTTTTTTTTCCCCCTCCTGTTATGCTCTTCATACAAATACTCCACTGTTTGTATGTATCATTTGCACGGGGGACTCTAATGAATGATGAGCCTTTTAAAAGTCATACAGCATTTATGTGTCGGTCCTCATTGGCTGTGAATGTGTTAACCTCATTAATTTTAACCAATGCCCTGCTCCACGCTAAGCAATCAAGCAGTGACCTTTACTAATGAATTCGATTTTATGCAGGAATCTTGGCATTACAAAGACTGTAGGAACTGAGTAGAATTCAGCTTGCTTTCATAATATTCAAAACATCAGAAGACATGCACACACTGTTTATCTGACTATTGCTATTTTTAAAAAAAAAAAACAAAGTCATTTTCGGCTGCAAGAAGAGATAAAATTCTTTAGTGGATTTGAGTTTCTTTTTCCAGAAGACAAGACTGGATAGAGGGCAGTCAGTCCAATATAAGGTAAATCTAGGTCAATGCTCAGTTTCGGAGGTAGGTGTCGCTCTTGCTCTTGAATTTACTGGATATTTGCATAGGTGTGAATAGCAGGCATATGAAAAAAAGATAAAAATAAATAAACTCCGATATGCAAATCATGATTTAGACAGAGAAAAGTATCAGGTATACTGGGATTCAAATCCTGAATAAGATTTACATGCCAAATCTCGAGCTAAGCATCTCAGATTTGTAATTACAGATTTTGTAGCTAAACTTTTTTTTTGCCTGGCGGGTTTTTTTTTTCTTTTTTTCTTTTTTTTTTTGGTAAATAACAACCGGATGAAAGAAAATGGGGACAATAAGTTTTTGCACTAATAACTGTTAAGTTTCTCTTTTTCTCTGGGAAGGTAAACAAATGAATGTGATCATCATGGGCAACAATTCTGTAGTTCACTGTTGTCTCTTCTCCATTTTTTATCGATCTATAAGTAGCTTAAATATTTCCTTGATTCAGTAAATATATTTAAGAATGTCAAATGATAAATCAATTCCCATATTATTCGCCAGTTAATTTTTGTAATGAAAAACGGTGAAAATCAGGGAAAAGATCTACAAGTCGATATAATACCAGCTCTTTAATAATTTGTATGAATAAACATTATAATAGTGTCATAGTAAAATACAATTCATTGGAAAAATAGGAAACGTTCTATTAAATTAGTGCAATTGAATTTAATATATGCATTTTTATATACTGTATGTGTACAGTATTGATAAATAATATTACCCGATAATTGATTTCGTTAGAACAATAGAACACAAGTTGTTCATACATTTTGCATTCCTATTTTCATTTTTTGCTCACGATCACTTTGGAACCAACCTTTATCTTTGTTACTTTTTAACGCTATCCACCTAGGAGAACTTTTTCTTCTCTTTCAGATTAAATTAAAGCTCACATCATATAAACCCGAAACTACAATTTCCAGCCTTTTCTTCCCCAGATTTATTTTGTGGCAAACTATTTGTTAGTCGTGAGTACAATTATTATTTTAAGTCATAATATAATTTGTTCTAATCACGTTAACAAAAAGTTTTGTGTTTCTTATTGCAGCATTCGCCTATTACTTATGTGAGCTGACAATTTACTAAAAAAGAAATAAAAAATATATAAATGACTTCAGCAACAAACTGATCTGTAAATGCAGAATTAATATTGCTATGTAGTACATAGATATTCGATATTTGCTTTCTAGTCAGTTTAGTGAATATGAATTATTTTATTCAATCAGCATTTTATTTAAATACAATCATTTGCTGTTCAATACAGTCATTTCTACAGCCTGCACTCCAGGCAGGGATACAGACTTTTCGTTCTAATTTCCAGGGAGCAATAACACATTGAACTTACTAGATGTAGAACATAACTATTATAGGGTTGAGGATGATTTCAGAGCAACATTTCATTTACTTAATAACTGCTCACTGGAACATCTTTTTTTTTATTATTCTGTCCAAATTTATCACTTTACTATGAAAACTAGCGTCGAGTTTAATATATATATATCAATTAATAAATGATTGCAGGTTTGAAAACGTTCAATTGTGACTTTTATATAAAATGACAAGCATTCTTTTTGAATCACAAGATTCTCAATATTCGTTTGCAATGAATTCACAGAACGAATTACGTTTGAATTACAGCCTTGTTATTGCTAGGATTAAAAGTAATGACCTGACCGACTGTTTTCGTTTGCCCAACTGCACAGCCATTATCGCTAGTGATCGCCTTCAAAGCACATCCATATTGTATAGAGGATTTTCACTTTAATTAAATGATCTTCAAGTCTGCCCATGTGGAATGGTGGTCCATGCCAGAAGCCTCCAAGAATGAATCGAGTTACGTCTCTGCCTTCTTAGAATAAAGGAGCCACTTTACTCACCCACCTATAGAAGTCACTCCATTGACCTTCTACCTTTGACATTTTGGTCAAGAGAGGACTGTGCAGTAAAGTGCAATGGACAACTTGTATAGAGGGGAGTTGCGAGTCACAGCGGTTTCTTTTAATGAGGCATAATAAAGCCTATAAAGTGTTCTCCCAAGTGTAGGGTCCACTATTGTGTTCCATTCCCACTCACTTTGCTTTAGTGTAGGCTGATTTGCTTCATTGTATTCTTTTAGTAATTCAGTAACTAAACCTAACCACTTGTGCTTTAGTATCAGGCTTCAGTTTGCTACCTAGATTCTAAATATATATATATATATATATATATATATATATATATATATATAAACCATTTTGTTGCTTGTGCATATGGATCTGCCGTTATATTTGTTTATAAGTGTAATGTCGTTTTGTATTAATTGATTTAAACCTTTAAATCCTATATATTCCATCATACAAATAAGTCCATTAAGGCACATTCACATGGACATAAATGTTTTTCTGATCTTATGCATTTTTTCTAGCACAAAGGTTCCTGCATAATGATCAGTAAATACTTGCATAAAACTGTCCTTTTCCCAATACCTGCATGTGGCATACATGTGGACGCAGATTTTGGGGTTTTGGATCTGCATTTTGTTTACAGCCATGTGGATGAGGCCTAACTGATATAAGAACACTTTTATATGATATTTGTGTTCTCTCAAACCCTACCTAAAATTATGTACAGCTAAACGTTTCTGCAGTGTTCCCCTAAACAAAAATATTAAGTATATAACCCAACAAGGTGCCTTTTTATTCCCACCGGTATGCTCTTCCTTTGTATTGCACAGAAGAGTTTCTCTAAACCCACCTCCCCATAAATATGGTTTTCAGCTGCGTGGTTTCGACATCTCCATTTACCTCCTCCATTTTTCTCTTCAGTTCACCCACTCATATTTCCAATTCTTCCTTTATTCCAAAAGCATTTATACTGTCTTTTGTATGTGGCAAACAATAATTATATATAGCACACAATAAGCAAGATAAAAGCACCTGCCTTTGCTTAAATGTTTGGTATGGTACATTGCAAGAACTGTTTCAATGCTAATGCAAGGAATAAAGTTCTCCTGTTATTTGGTCTATATAAACCTGTCCAGAACTGGTATCAGAGAATTACCAAAGAAGGGGGGCATTTTAACTTTAATGAATGAGCATCCTTACCATGTCAGAAATACTATATGTAGGAAATGTGAAGGGGGGTTGGTGGTGGGTGTGCACATAATTCATTTTGGCAATTCATTGTAGCATATTGCCATCACATAATGCCATGATAATGGCTGTGAATTCAGGAATATTGCTCCTTTACATACATCAGAACAACAGGGAAATAATGTATTTACTATTTAGTTTAGATCAGTAGTAAAGTAATTTTAAAGTAATAATAAACCCTCAAGTTGCCTCTAGATCCATGTGTATAGTGGTACATGTAATGACTTTTTTTCCTAATCTTGCTTCAACTCATATTTTCTACCTCTTTGCAGATGGATGCTGCTGTTCCAGGCTCTGCTCAGTCTCTGTGCTGCTTCCCCGAATTTCCTGTCAGGAAGTAGGCACTGCTATATCAGACATGCAGAGGTGATTACAGGGAGATCAGCAGTCAATCCAAAAGCTGGTGGGTGGAGCAATGGAGCACAGATGAGAGTGTTAATTAACCCACAACAGTAAAATCAGTCTGTATATGCAGTAAAGCATGCTTGTTAAACTCACTGTGGAACCTAAGGGGTTAATTTTCTGCATTGTGTAAAAAGGGCGTTTGTTCCCAATTACTCTGTTCCTCCCCTTGTTTAAGCGTCCACCTCTTATCTCCTGATAAGACAAACTAAACAGTAGGCATTTTGCACATGCTCTGTTTGGTGTGTATTGCTAGAGAGGTGTTTTTTTTTTCTTGGGAGAGTGCATGTGATCAGCACAGGGCAAATCAGCACTGTCCAGACAGAGGTCAGGGGATTTGCATCCTCCTAGAGCAGAAAGAAAGCTCCTCCTACAAGCTTTACTAGTGCTCTGCTGAACACTGATAGAATCCACAAGACTGTTCTAACTTCTGATGAGAAAAGGTATTTAGCAGTTTAT